GCCCGTTTTAGCAGTCTGGAAGGCAGAGGCCAAGGCTTAATCCAGGAAATAGCCTGGACCAGCCCCCCTGGACAGCTTTTAAGACACCTTGGTGCAGCAGCTTAAAAATCCCTTTTATCTCGTAGTTTTGATTCAACCTCCTTCCCTGTCTCCACAGTGAAAGAAGCAGTATTTGCAAATACCATGTTCTCAGGTTAAAAGAAAGAAAAGTTAAAGTAGTTATAAAATCAGAGTCTCTACCTGTCCCCAGTGCAGAAGGTTTTTTACTGATGTATAGTCTGGAAAATGAGATAGATACACATCCAGGCGGCTCTACAGGAAAAAGAAAACATTTTCTAAGTGAGTTGGGAATAGTGAAAATCTGTCTAGGCAAAAACCCTTAAACATTCTGTCTTATAACTGCAATAGAAAACTTTTACACTTTGATTCTTTAGTAGCTTTATTGTGCTCAGAGCCAGAAGTAGCTTCTAAAGTTAAGCCACTTAATCAACATTTTAGAATGGAAATACAACTGGTCCAGTCATTTTTTGGTTATTTTGTCCTGCATACTTGTTGCATGCCAGCCAAAAATGAGGCAGGAGTTTCCTTTGCCTTAGAGACCACGAGTGATTGTCTCTTACCAAAGACTCGGTCAGGTTTAGCACCCCAACACCATTGCAGGAAATGTCCAAATAACCACTGCTTTTCACAGCTTGCTTTGGGGGTTTATGCTTATTTTTTGTGTCTCATTAACTATCTCCATTTGTCTAGGAAAACCAGAGAGGGCTGTGACCTGGATGGAGAGTCTGGTGCACCCACCACATTCAAGTTCTCCCTGTCAAATCCTCCGGCAAGAAAGAGCTCTATGGCACACCGTTCCGCTGGCACGCGCCTGCTGCACTTCACAACCAGGGCATCTCTATCCTTCCTCTTCACCAGAACCAGCTCTCTGCTTCCATACTTTTCCTTAAAGAGTACGAGGAAAGGTTAGAAATGATGTTAGGAGCTCCAAAGCCCTCTGCAGGCGTGGGATCAGCACACAGTGACAATGCAGAGGGTCCAGAGTTGCTGAAATTCTTCCCTGGATTTCAGGATTAACAGTGCATAAACACCTCCTGTACCTTGAGAACACTTTCGGGTAGAAAGGCAGTCCGTAACACGGGGCCCCGGGCATAGCGGAGAGTGGACACCGGAGCCAGGGCAAAGAAGAGTTTGATTTTCTTGGCCAGGTGAGGCAAGCTGGAAAATGCTATGAAACCTGAAAAGCAGCACAGAGTCACAGCAAGAAGCCCAGGGACTGTGTGTGAGGTGCAGGGTTTGAGGCAAACACGTTCCTGGATGCCAGCACAGCCTGGGATAGATGGGGAGGATGGGGAAAACCCACCCATGCAGCCTCCAGTTTGGGATGGACATTGAAGGGTCCTTCCCAAGGCATCCTGGTGTCCCACGCCCACCCACTGCCCTCTCCTCCCTCCTCCTCACTCACCCAGGGTGTTGCCCTGCGCATGCCCAACATAGAACAGCTTCTCCTGCTCAGTTTGCATCAGGATGAAGCCCACCATGGCCGGGAGGTCGTACATGGCCATCTCGTGGAAGCTGCGCAGCAAAGGAAGAACCTGGAGGAGATTCCCACCTCCCAGCCTCCCGTGGACACCAGGAGATGGGCACAGACAGCCCAGCAGCCCAACCCAGCCCCTGCTGGCCCTGTCACCTGAAATCCCAGAACTCCACAGAGTCAACAGACAGGTTTTGGTGCCGGCGGGACCAGCTGTTGCCCCGGTTGTTCCCGAGCCAGACGTCGTATCCGGCATCCGCCAGGATGAAGGCCAGGCTGTTGTCAGGGAAATTGTCCACCCAGTCACCACCATCCTGACAAAACCCATGCACTATCAGCACGGGGGTCCCGGATCCTGGAAGAGGACATTTCGGGTAGCTGACAGAAAAGGATGCCCTTCCCATATAGAAATAAAAAAACCCACATGCACCTTGATACTGTTTGCAACAGGCTGCACATTATTCATTCTCTTCTCCCTGTATTTCCCTGACTTTGCCAGTGCATTTATGTGTTTGGGGGGCTTTTGCCATCCCAGGCCGAGTCTGGACCTTGGACCAGGGATTTCCTGCAGGGAAGGAGCCCCTGGGGCTTGCTGTGTCAGATGCAGCAAAAGTTGGTGCTGAGCTCCTGAATCCCCAGGGGCAGCTCAAAGCAGCCAGGAAAAATCTCCTCATCCCCACTTCCCGCTGCCCAAACCATGCCTGAAGGCACAGACACTCGCACGGATTCCTGTTGGCCCTGGCAGGGGACAGGCTCACATCTGGTGCCCACCTGACTGCCTACGGTCCCTCCTGCCGCGGGGAATGCGGTTGACGGTCAGGAAGTACCCGTCCTCCGTCATCACCTCGTACAACTCGCTGGCATAGCCGTGGAAAGTGATCTTCTGGCTCTGCGGGGACAGCGGGGCAAGGGCAGAGGGTGACCCGGTGCCCTGTGCGTTCCTCGGCTCCACCCGCGCTGCCCGCTGTCGCCTCCGCCCGAAGGGATCCCAGGCAGAGCGGGGACAGACCGAGCTGGAGCTGGGGGCACAGGGGAGCGACAGCCGGGCAAATGCGGGAGATTTTGGGGCGCCGAGCCCCCCGATGAGGCCAGGCGAAGGAAGATGTCAGGGACAGGCTGAGCCCAGCTGGTCCCTCGGGAAGAAGGGCGGGCACAGCCGCGGGGCAGCGCGGTGCCCTCCCGGCACTTACGATGTTCATGAACGTCTCGGGGTTGCGGAAAGCTTCAACCCCGGCTCCGCCTCCTCGCAGCCCCGGGGCCAGGCACAGCGCTCCCAGCAGCAGCCACATCCCGGCCGCCCGCGGCACCTGCGGGATAACGGGGCGGGCTGAGAGGGGCTGCGGSTGCTCCGGGGGCACARGGAACCCTGTCCGACCCCAGCAYGGTGACAGCACGGCCACAGCCTGACGCTGCAGCGGGCAGCGGGTCTGGAACCCACCCCAAGCCTCCCTTGCTGACCATTCCCGTTTAGCCCAGTTCTCACTGCAGCGTGGGACAAGAGGCCTCCCACCTTCCCCTGCCTGGGAAAAGCACCGGGGCGCTTCCAGGAGAATCCTTAGGCTTTCAGGGAAAAGCGTTTCAGGGAGAGAATCCTCCCCCAAACAGGAGGGGCCGTGCCAGAGCTCCATCGTGCAGGAGCTTCCCTGCCCCATCCCTGCTCTGGATGGAGCGACGCGCTCCTGGACTGCCCTGCTGCCCAGAGCGCCCAGCCCAGGGCATTCCGGGCTCCAGGACAGCTCCAGCCAAGTCCATTTCCTTGATGATCCTGCTGCAGGAGCCAAAGATGACTCTCTGCCTCA